TCTGGGATTTTGGATGTCTAATATGATATTTCAAATGTATAATCTGGTAATTCAGGTGTTTTCTACAAGATTTTAGGTATTTATCCTGGGATTTCTAATGTCTAATCTGGGATTTCAGATGTTTAATCTGAGATTTCAAATAGCTAATATGGGAACTGACTTCTGTGACCCAAAAATGGAAGTAGCAGGTAAAAGATAATGAATGGCTGGCTGGATGGATGGATAGATGGATACTGTGGGAATTCAGGTGTTTTCTACAAGATTTTAGGTGTTTATCCTGGGATTTCTAATGTCTAATCTGGAATTTTAGATGGCTAATCTGAGATTTCAAATGTCTAATCTTGGAATTCCGATGTCTAATCTGGAAATTATGAGTTTTTATTTTAGGTATTTATCCTGGGATTTCAATGTATAATAAGGGATTTCAAATGTCTAATCCAATATATCAGTTGTCTAATTGAAGATATCAGTTGTCCAATCTCAGATTACAGATATTTAATATAGGATTTACAATATTTAATCCGAGAGTTTAAATTGTGAAATTTCTTCACTTATCTATAATCCTTAAACTTTAATTACAACATAAATCTTAAATTTCCCTAATTTAGAGTCAAAACAAACTTTAAATGAAACTGTAAACAAACAAATTCTTTCACATAGAAAAACTGTTTTCAGTGACCCTTGACTGTTTGTTGTTGTTGTTTTCCTGTCCCTCAGCAATGAGCCATTGCAGCACACAAGAAGAGACACATCTGTTCCCACTGAGATCGACAGAAAGATGTGAAAGTGGACCAAACAACAGAGATTTAAAAACGCCTGTTCTGATTTATTAAAAAAAAAAATTAAATTTTCTTGAAGATTTTGTTTTTATTTGGTGTGGTTTTTTTTTTTTTTTGCTATATGTTTCCAGCTAACTTTAAGAAATCAAAAAGTTTTGAGTTGTTTTTTTCTTTTTTTTTCTCTCTTTTTTTCTCTGTGATTCCAGTTAAACATCATATATGTATAATCTTTTTCTAAATTTAACATTAGTTGCATTTAATGTCATTGTTGGGCTTTGTTAGAATAATGTGAGGACAAGGTGAATGAATAAAAGGACTGTTTCAGACCAGGACACAGTGGACTCTGTTGTGACGCTTGTAACTAAAAAAAAGGGGAGTCAGTGGTTAAACTGACCAACTTTGAACTCCTGCGCAAATGTTTAGGATGACAGCAATTTATGTAAGACAAAAAAGTAATAAAGATATGTTGAACACTTGAATAACCTCTAAACAAGCATGCAAACCCAGTAATGATCAACATTAATTTTAATACAGTTCACAAGGTATCATAATCAAGGAGGGCGGTAAAAAAGGCTAAATAGAAGGTATTTTATAAGTTGCACAAGAGGCCGGGCACTAAGAAGGGAGAGAAAGACTTGTATCGACAGAGATAAGGCTGGTGATGGTTTGCAGCTGGTTAGGCCTTTAAAAATAAAAAAATAGAAATGTTCTAATGAGCAAAGAGAATGTGATGAGAATATGGAGTACTTTGAGGAGCTAATAAATGAAAAATAATAAAAAGGGGAGGTCATAAAATTGTGGACCAGGAAGTGGGAAAGATTAGTGAAAGCTTTGAAGAGGATGAAGGGAAATGTTATCATTTCACAGAGCTTGTGATCCCAAGATGCAGACAGAACACAAGTTTTCTGCATTATCTTTGAGCACTTTGTTTATTAACTAAATAAATAGCTGTCAGAGCTGCAGATCTACTGAAAACTACAGTGGCTCAAAGATGTAAATGAACAACATTTGAAAAAACTGAATTACATTTGAAAAATCACAACAACATTTGAAAAAACAGAATTACATTTGAAAAAACGGAAATACATTTGAAAAAACGGAATTACCTTAAGCTAAAATGGAATTGGCTGGAATCACATTAGAATAAACAGAATTACATTTAAAAAAAACAGAACCATATTTGATAAAACAGAATTACAATTGAAAAAAACGAAATTACATTAAGCCAAAGCGGAAGTGGCCAAAGCGGATGTGGCCAAAGTGGAAGTGGCCCAAATCACATTAGAAAAAACAGAATTACATTTGAAAAAACGGAATCACATTAAGCTAAAACGGAAGTGGCCAAAGCGGAAGTGGCCAAAGCGGAAGTGGCCGGAATCACATTAGAATAAACAGAATTACATTTAAAAAACAGAACCATATTTGATCAAACAGAATTAAATTTGAAAAAAACGAAATTACATTAAGCCAAAACGGAAGTGGCCAAAGCGGAAGTGGCCAAAGCGGAAGTGGCCAAAGCAGAAGTGGCCCGAATCACATTAGAAAAAAAACAGAATTACATTTGAAAAAACGGAATCACATTAGAAAAAACAAAATTACATTAAGCCAAAGTGGAAGTGGCCAAAGCGGAAGCGGCCCGAATCACATTAGAAAAAACAGAATTACAGTACATTTGAAAAAAATGGAATCACATTTGAAAAAATTGAATGACATTTGAAAAAAACGGAATTACATTAAGCCAAACAGGAAATTTTTGTAGTTTTATGCCGTTAATGAAGTAAAATTTAAAAGAAAAAAAAAAAACAGAGAAAAAAACTCCCTGTTTGGGTTAATATAATTAAAAAAAATTTCAAATGTCATTCGTTGTTTTTTTTTTCAAATGTCATTCCGGTTTTTTTTTCAAATGAAATACCTTTTTTTCAAATCTAATTCTGTTTTTTCTCATGTGATTCAGGCCGCTTCTGCTTCGGCCACTTCCGCTTTGGGTTAATGTAATTCCGTTTTTTTTTCAAATGTAATTCCGTTTTTTCAAATGTTGTTGTGATTTTGTCGTTTTTGTTTTCAAATGTAATTCCGTTTTTCAAATGTTGTTCGTTTACACCTTAGGGCCACCGTAGAAAACGCTGGTAAACTAAAGGAGGTGCAAAAGAGATGCAGAACTAAGGAAGCAACAGAAGGAAACGGAATATAAAGGAACACCAGATGTTGCTTTTGCCTCTTTCATTTCCTGTTTGTCCCCAAGAAGAAACTCTGAGATTTCTTTGTCTTTAAGCCTGCTGTTACCATGACACCAGAGTTGTTGAAGACTGAAACAAACATTTCTAAACATTCAGTTCAAATCTGATGTTTTTACTTGTCTCTTTGAACAAGTTATTTTTGTGCCCAAGTTACGTTTCCCTGGTTTGAACCCAGGAATACGAAAATAGGAAAGATAGATGTGTGTTGTAGTGAAATAGGTCGGTTAGCTTCAAAGCTTCACTACACGTTATAATACCTGGACTAGTTCAAGTACCTGATATTATACTTAATTTAAACGGGTTCTCTCTTTTTCGAGCTACTTGACAGATATGTGACAGAGATACTGTGTGGGAGATGGTTTAATCAGTGACGTGAGACGTTAATTTTCTTGACCCATCAAAATGAATGCGGTCATTTATTAACAGAATCAAAGTTTAACATCAAACATTGTACATGTGATTATTCTGATTGTACGCAATAACACAGCTTAATTAATACAACAGACATTTCTGAAAATATCTGGATGATTACTGGCAGATAGAAGAGTTTTAAAGATGGGAAATGAAGTTTAAATGGAGAGAAAGGATGTATGAAGATGTAGGTCTGTAGACCAGAACGACACGCTCCCTTGAAGCGCAGCTTAACCCACGGTACACTGGTAGTTGAAGATCGACTCTTTTACCTTTCTGAAGATATTTCAGTTCCGGCGTAAAGTTCCACTTCAAGCCACCTTTCAGCGTCTCCATAAGAACAGCTGTGTCTCAGGAGTCGTGAGATCACTGAACAGACTTCCTCATTGTTCAGAGCTTCCGTCGGATAGCCACAGCGAGACGTCGTGGCATCGACGGATTCTGGTCATTCCATTAGAAACTGCTCGAACTTGTTCTGCTCGGAACTTTGTTCTGCATAGTTCCCGTTGTTCTCCGTTCCTGCGTTCTGCATTCTGCATTCTGCTTGGAACTAGGAAGTGTTGACCCTTTTAAAGAGGTCACTTCCGGTTCCTCTGAGAACTTCCTGATTGGCTGATAGAACCAACAGGGGTGTGGTCTTAGTGATGTAAGAGGTTATTAAAAGTCAAGGAGAAAGAGTAGATTGTTTTAAGAACAGACAGAAAGATGTTTTGAAGAAATGAGACTTTTTGGAGCCATTTTCCTCCTATCTGTCTGAAAAAGTTAAACATGACATTTCTTTCCAGTAAACATGTTTTTGACCGAAACTTGACTTCTGACCGACTTACTCCTTCTCATTTCAGACAGAGAATCAAAAATGCATCATTACTCTTGTAACAGACATTAACTTGATTTCTACTTTGAATGAGGATTAAAAATCATTAATACTGTTTCACAGTTGATTTAAAATGAGTAGTTCACTTCAACATTTAAAAATGGTTTGAACTAAACACACTTTTGATTATCAAGACATTTGTAAAATAGTAACGATAATAAAAAAGAGAGTGTTCTTTCAATTGATCAGTGCAGGACACACTTAGAAAGTCTCTGGATGAACTTAATTTTGTGTTTCTGGACTCAAATCAATGAAATAACAGTTCTTGTCCCAGGAAGGCCCTCAGGGCCAGACTTGACCTGAGGCTTAGTTCACTACAGTGTCGATCAAGATACCTAAATATTTGTAGGAATCGACAAACTCAGTAGGGACACCATTAAAGGATCAAATCAGAGGAAGAACTGCTAGGACCGGCTTCCTGTTTGAAAAAAGCATCTCTTTGGTTTTGTCGGCATTTAGGACAAGTTTGAGACGGAACAAATCTGACTGGATGATGTCGAAAGCAGATTGCAAATGCTGTAAAACCTTAGCAACTGTTTTAGCTCTACAGTAAACAACTGTGTCATCCACGTGGGAATGTAAGGATGCATCTGGTATTCTCTGTCCTAAATCACCTATGTAAATTGTAAAGAGGGTGGGTCCTAAGACTGAGCCTTGTGGAACACCATTGTTAACTGTTCAATAACTGGAGGAAATACTAAAATACGTAAATAATAGAAAGATAGTTAGAGAACCAACCAATGGTATGATCTGATAAACCTATTTCTGAAATCTTAAAGCTCTGTGGTACATTACCATTTATTAGAGAGAAATTAAGCAGATACAAGCTGTGGTTATTAATTAAATAACCTGGTTGGGATCTAGCAGACTTGAGGTACTTTGCTAACAGACAGAGTTGAATTTAAGACTTTTATTGAAAATCTTAAATTTTAAAGAATTTTAAAGAAGAGGCAGAATTTTAAACCAAGGTCTTGGGCAATAGTGCTCAGACTGTGTGTTGGAGATTCCTCTCAGCTACTACCACCCCAAACGTTACATCAATATCTGTAAAAATGAATTATAGATATTTTTTATGTTTTCAAGTTCAGTTAACTGTGGCAGCCATTGTAAATTCAGCTGACTCCAAAAATGTATCAGTTGTAGACGTACATCCAATGATTACTTTCTGCAATTTTCACTAAACGTCCAGTGGTTCTTGAGATATTTTGCTAACAGACAGCAGCGGGTTGTTACAACAGGAGCTGGATGTGTGAGATGGTTCTTCAAAAGCCTTTCTATGTGATGTAGCAAGCAAAATAATTTATTCCTTCATGGATATTGAATCCCTGGTAGATTCTTTGTAGAGTTACTGTCCCCGTTTAACCCAGTCATAACCGGATTATAATTTATAATCCCGTCTCTGAGCAGATCAGAAACCCAGGGTCAGTCTAGATAATTTACTAACATGGTGATAAAAAAACATTGCG